AGCGCTCGGATTTATGGCAGCTATGGAGAATCCTACCGTCAGGGACAGAAGAGAGAGAGAGAGAGAGAGAGAAAGAGAGAGATAGAGGGAGAGAGATGTAAGGGCTATATTCTCGCGGAATGAGTTATACGCCTCCCGCGGTTTCCAATACGTTATTTATCGGCCAGCTTTTCATTATTTCTGTGTCGTGCGCACGAAACTGCACGATTTCCGGCGGGGACCGTCTCTGGAACGGTCGTACGATCGTAATTGGCCTTATCGACGTTGTCGGATCGGAAGTTGGTCGAAAGTTGTTGGCGACAAATTGCTTTCTCTCTCTCTTTCTTCTGGGGATAATTTAGAGAGAGAGAGAGAGAGAGACGTGTCAGAGAAACAGTATTATTTGTAACGTTGACCAGATTCGTGACATTGCTCTACTTGTAATTGTGTGTTACTTATCTATATTATATCTATATTTTATATTTATCTACATTATATATATATTAAAAAGAGTAATTATATTTTTGCATTTTTTTATTTCGTTTCGTGATAAATTATAAAATAAAGAACATAATCGGTAATCTTAATCTTTAAATAAAAGCGTTAATGAATGAGATCGAACGATATTGATTCTCTCTTCTTCCTCCTTTCAACTTTTCACTTTCAAAATTGTTGTGAAACGGCAAATTTCCTACGCGAATCGGAAAAAGCAATTTTAAACAATAATACGAGGGATCGACTCACGTTCACGTTCGGATTCCCACCAAAACTGGATTCTTCGACTGTTCGTTTTAACTTTCACGAAACTGCGCGTTAGGCGGCCCTTATGCCGACTTAAGCCAAAAGAAGCGTTTCTAATGACGAGAGGTTGTTTCTCTACCACGGTGAATAAACGTGGACCGCTCCCACAATTGACAGAGCAATTTCGGATTGAAATCGTTGCTAATGACACGCGAATCTATCTCACTGGATCATCACCAGCTCCTTATTTGGAGACAACGTGATGCCCTTTTCCCGAGGAAGGGGAGGGGAAGGAAAAAACAAGGAGTGGAATTATTCAGAAATGAGCAGGATCCGTGCACAATGAAAGTGATCTCTGATGACATTCCGAATGATGATGAATGTACACACAGTTGTAATAGAGTTTCTGGCATTTTACCTGGCACGATGAATTTATAATTTTTCTTATACCTGCACCCAGCAACCGTAATTTTAAAGATTCGTTACGATTCGATTTTACAGAAGAGAAAAAGAAAAATTATAAAAAGTAAAATTTATCACGAAATCAACGACTCTTTTAAAATCATCGATTCGTTCAAACGATCTCAAGCGTTAAAAGACCACGCACGAAACATCTTTAATCGAAAAACGGATAAAAAGCATCGGGACCGTGATCAATCGTCGCGGATCAGATAAGTCCGTGGACAACCAAATTGTTGAGGGCCCAGTGAAATTACTTTCGATAAACCAATCGACCCATACGAAACGAGCATCGAACGAAATCTCGACGACCTTAAAAAACTCAATTTCCAACAGAAACGATCTGAACTCGATACTCACGTAAGAAAAACATAACCTTTTATATCCCGTTTAAAATAAAATGGCGAATAATAATTTCAACGAATTTCGGATATTTTAATATTATTTTTATCTTGGAAATAATGTGGGGGAGGAAAAAAGTCATTTGCACTTGTTCGACTAATTAACGATTGTTCCGAGCGACGTTCAACGAATAAGACAATGACGAGTCTCGTTTCGAGGATTATTTTTCGGACACTTTATTTCGATGTTTGGTCGGAGAGAAAGAAAGAAAGATACTCGTATAAGGACGCTCGGTGAGCTTGAATGAATCCCCATTCCCGAGGCGAGCAGGTTGCATCTTCGTTCCACTCCTAGGCAGGGCTGCTCAATGGGCAGATCGTTAGATAGGATCAGTGGCCGAGACCAGCTCTATAAATCCTCCGCGGGCACAATTATGTGGGGGATATAAGGATTATTGTTATACGGACCGAGAGAGGCCGCTTTCGTATGGCCGCGCATGGCCGCGGGGATTACCCTCATAAATATATTCAGAGGCCATTATGCGAGCCCGGGGACGTTGATAACGTAATAATGAGGGCGTGGGCTAATGAGACGCGCGCTGAAAACTCATCCACGTAATCGTGATTGACGTTAGGATCTTCGTCGCTTCGCTCTTCTCCCTTTGCCTAGTGGCCGATCTGTACGTAGCGGATCACGTTGCAAGCGAGCTTCCTAACCTCTTCGATATTTCTTAATATTATATATAAGGTATATAATTTCGTTGGTGGTTTAAAATTAATTGGAAACGAGCTTCGATAAGCTTCGTTTCTTCTTATTCCCGTTCCATTTGTCTAAAAGTCGATGTATACGTGCTAGGTTATATTAAATGAAACGATCGAATTCCTAACCTCTTCGATATTTGTTAATCGCGTATTTTTGAAAGCAAGCTTTGACAATTTTTCTTTTTTCCTTAGTTCTAGAATCTTTTTCATTCTCTAGAAATCTTAATTCTAGAATGTTTTTCATTCTACTTGTTTAGTGGGTGATGAATATTATAAGTGAAAGGATCGAATTCCTAATCTTTTCGATATTTGTTAATCGTGTATTTTTGAAAACAAGCTTTGAAAACAAGCAATTTTCTCGTTTCTTTTTATTCTTAATTCTAGAATCTTTTTCATTCTGCTTGTTTAATAGCTGATGAATATTATAAGTGAAAGGATCGAATTCCTAACCTCTTCGATATTTATTAATCGTATACTTTTGAAAACAAGCTTTGACAATTTTCGCCTTCTTTTTTCCTTAGTTCTAGAATGTTTTTCATTCTGCTTGTTTAATGGTTGATGAATATTATAAGTGAAAGGATCGAATTCCTAACCTCTTCGATATTTGTTAATCGTGTATTTTTGAAAACAAGCTTTGACAATTTTTCTTTTTTTCTTAGTTTTTTTCTTTCTAGAATCTTTTTCATTCTACTTGTTTAGTGGCTGATGAATATTATAAGTGAAAGGATCGAATTCCTAACCTTTTCGATATTTGTTAATCGTATATTTTTGAAAACAAGCTTTGACAATTTTCTCGTTTTTATTCTTAGTTCTAGAATGTTTTTCATTCTGCTTGTTTAGTGGCTGATGAATATTATAATTAAAAGGATCGAATTCCTAACCTCTTCGATATTTGTTAATCGTGTATTTTTGAAAATAATAAACTCTATTCTTTTCCATTCTGCTTGTTTAGTAGCCGATAAATATTATAAATGAAAGAATTTCTAATCTCTTCAATATTTGTCAATTATAAAAGTAAAACGAATATTCACAGATTCAGATGTTTCTTCAATCGATAAATACTGTCTAAATTTTATTTGATGGTGCGAACATCTATTATCAGAGATTGATAATAATTGAATAAAGAGTTATGCAGATCAACTGTAACAGCTAATTAATTAACTTAATTCAATTATGAAATTTTCAATTAGTTACCTTTATCCCCTTCCCCCCAACGAGAGAAGATTTTCCTTCGTCGAACTCCTCCTCTTTAATAACTTAAAACCGAATACTTAGCCGCACGACAAAATTAGAAGGACAAGGAGAAATAATAAATCAACCCTCGAGAAGAAACCAAAAACTTTCCTCCGCGCGGACCACTCCTCCTGCTCCCATTAACGTTAAACCACCCGTCAAACTCCAAGCCAAGCTTTCGCAACAGTTCAAACACAATTAACTCCTTAACGCGGAGGAAATTAATCACTCTCGGCCAAAATGCTTCAACGTCCGAATCCAATTACTACCGGTGTTTCGCGATGGCCTGCCGTAATAATGGCCTGTGGTCTCCTAATATACCTTCGAGGTGGACGTACCGACGAATCATTATATATAAGGTAACGAGCACGCCTATGCCGTAACCCGTGAAGAATGATGACCACGGCGTGTAACGATAATAAATAATCGGTTGAATATCAAGCAACGAAACGCGGAACGATTCCAGCTCTCCTCGATCCTCCCCGCGATTCCCTCCTCGGGGAAGGGAGAGGAATCTTCGTTGTGGCGGCGGTGGTGGTGGAGGGGAGAAGAGGGAGAACGAAAGGGGAGTACCGGTGATGTCTTCATCCGTGGGTAATTAGAGGCAAGCAATGCACATAAGCGGGACGTTATTTCCACGTAGTGGAACGGATGTCCTCGTATATATGTACTTATTGGTCTTTTCTGCAACGTGGTCTCGTTCCCCGCTTGCTGTCGGCGCTCTTGCAAGAAACGAATCGAGTCGAGGCGGGGTGGAATAAAGAGATCTTTGATTGCAAATAGGAACGAGAAAGAGGTTGGAACAGGGTGGAGAGAGCGAGGAGCAGGCATGACGGAGATGGGACATGATCGAAGGGGGCTGCTACTGGAAAAATTGATCTCTGGAGAGAATGGTGACCTTGTAGAAGGATGTGTATAATTTGATACGAAGAAGTAACTAGTTAAAAATTTGGAGTAAAATCAATTTTAAATAATTGCTCTTAACTAAATGTTATTCAATTTTTAAATAACATTTATTCGTAGTTGTTATAGTTGATCCGTTTTTCATATAACCTCGTTGGCATTATTTGCAATTATTATTGAAGCAATTTATGGAAATAGAAGAATTTTATTCGTAACTTCAATTATTAAATTTTGCCCATCGCTGTGACTCGATTTTTTTAGTTACTATTTATATTTATATATATTTAATATATATTAATAATAGTAATAATATATATAGAAGTAACTATAGTAGTAGTTTTTCATATAACCTTGTTGGCATTATTATTAAATTATTATTGAAGCAACTTATGGAAGTAATTTTATTCGTAACTTCAATTATTAAATTTTGCCCATCGCTTTTTTTAGTTATTATTTATATATATTTAGTTACTTGTATTGTTCCACTAAATTATCTTGTATAAAATTATCATATATTGGAATGGAATTATTAAAAAAAAAAAAGAATGTATTCTTAATTATTACATTATTGTGCCACTCACCATTGTGAAGTTTGCTTTTGGAGGTGTGTAGTTGCTCGATAATGGAGGTGAGGGGTCTGCGGCCAATACCGCTGCCACCCCCACAGCTCCAAGGGGAATCACGCTCCGAGCCGTCCGCCAGATTGTCACAGTCCTGCAAAGCAGAAAGAAAAAGAATTAAACGGGCGGAAGATGACAAGATGGAAAGACACCGGTTTCTACCATTTCCCACGCTTCTACCGCGAAACAAGCTGTCCTCGAAAGTGGATAACGAGCGATGGGATTGGCAAGGGTAATGAGGGTAAAGTAGAGCGGAATTGTGATATTTCGAAAAGTAATCGAATTGAAATGAAACGAGATTATCGGTCGGATATTAAACTGTGCTCGATAGTTTTTTCCTTGAAAAATTGTGTTTTCAAATTTACATCGATTCCTTTCTTCTCACAAAAATATCAGGATACAAGCTATTAGTAATGATATAAAAATTTAATATTTTTCTTTTCTTTTCTTTTAAGTATTATTTTTCGTTCGAAGCTTGTCCACTTTAACGAATATCGACGTAATATAACAACGTCCAAATACAAGTAACTGTATGCGTCTCTTAAAACATTTCAGAAAGAAACACTTGGATTCAAATTAACCGTGGACAAGCGTATTCCCGTAAATAACAATCACATAATGTCGCATAGAGATATAAGAATCACACGGTACGAGGATATTTATGACAGGAGAGAATCCCATAAAGAAGCTAACGGGTCAGGCCTTTTAAGACCGCGCTAATCTTAAATCTTCCCTAAACCGTCGAATCATCATAAAAATGTATTTATAAAACCTGGAGATGCCTCATCTCCGGACTCGAGAGACTTTCAACTTTTCTCTCGAGGATACGTTTCAAAACCGTTAATCCCTATTATACATATACATATATACATATTATATCTTTTCTTTAACCCCCTCTCCTAACTATTCTATTCATTTTCTTTTATATATATATATATATATATATATATATATTTAATTTCTCACGAAAAACTTCTTCTTAAATATTATCATCGAATTAAGATGATCTCGACAATCTTTAAATAGAGTTTAATTAACACAACTCTTTATTTTATCAAACTCAGTAACATTATATATATATATATATACTTAATATACATTAATTTCAAAAAATTCGCGTTATCAACCTTCTCCTTCCTTCCTCCCCTCTCCTTTTCCCAATACCAAAAAAGAAACCATCGCCAGAAACTCGTAATACTCCCATCCCCTTCCTCCCTCCCTCTCTTCCTTCTTTCCTCCCTTCCCTGCGGATATCTCGTTTGAAAAACCGTTCTCGATTAAAAAACCGAGCCGCCTCTCAAAAGGCCGACTGATAATGACGACGCATTATATATACCGGGCGAGGCGCGCACAAGGGAACGCGCGCGCGCGCGCGCGCGCCATCGTGAATCATCGAGGCTCTCGATGTCGGCCCGTATGCTTCGCTTCCATACACAACCGATCCCCGACAAGCGTCGTACGTTACCGATCGACAAATTCCACCGTCCCCCTCCTCCCCCTCCTCTCCCCCCATCCCCATAAATCGACCGCGTATGAGACTCTCGCGCAAATTAACTCCCCTAAGGAGGAGGGATGGGGGGGAGAGGGATCCACGTTTTATCGTAACACGATCGATAAAACTGGATCCAACTCGGAGAGAGAGATGGAGAGAGGGAGGGAGAGGGAGAGAAAGAGAGAGAGAGAGAGAGAGAGTTGGAGCGGGCGGGTTATCCCCGGTTGGATAACGCTTCGAGGCATGACAACACGTCCGCCATCCGATGAACGTGGCCCTAAAGCGAGGAAACTCGATGCCTGGATCCTCGTCGTCAAGGGCCGCGGATAATCGACTTAACGACGAGGCTTAACGACTTCTCGGTAACGGGGCCTCGAACTTCAACCGTTCAACCGTTCCCTCCTCCTCCTCCTCCTCCTCCTCGTTCGGATGTCGTACTACTACGTCGTACTACCACGCCGTGGTGGTCGTGGTGGTCGCGTTGTGTATTACGATCTTCGAAGGGGGGGAATTCTAAACTCTTCGAGGGCAGTGTCCAGGCGAGAAGGAAGAGGAGGAGGAGGAGGAGAGGTGGATCGAGAGGGGGAGGAGGGAAGGTTGAGAGAGGAGCAGCGATCGAGAGACGCGGCCCAAGGGTCTATAATGCACGGGCGACACCGCCATACGTGTCACGGGGAATCGATCCGATCCGGTTGTAAGCCGACCTAACCATAAGTCCGGAGCGGATCGGGCGAGCGCGCGCGGCCACGCTCGTCGAACAAGAGTACCCCGCCTGTTCGGGTCCGCGGCCGACATTATCCGCCCTGTACCCTGTAACACTCGATTCTCGAGTCCGAGTTGATACGAGTGCGTCGTTCACCCGTGAAATATCCGAAAGAAAGTCCGGATTTCCCCCTCCCCTTCTTTCCTCCTCCCTCGAGAGATTCGATATTTCGTGTATGTATATGATTTTCGTAGATTTTCTTTTCGTTTCGCGTTTTATGGAATGGAAGATATAACCTCTTAAACTCTGTCCCCATCTCTAATGGAGAAGGAAAAACAAATGGATCCTTTCCACGATGAATTTCATATTTATGTAATATTAATGTAATTACGTACATGGTGATAATGTGTACTCGTGAAACATCTTTTAAGAGAGCTTTAGCTTTAGATATGGAGAAATCTTGGTTGATACTTGTTTATTCAAGCTTGGATGAGGCAAGACAGAGACGGAGCGAGGCAACTCTCCACGTTGCCGCAGAGCGGCGCGACGCGTCGTCCTATCTCCATCTCGCTTCGTCCGTCACCAAATATTCGATCGCATATAACTTAATAAGATATTTTTCGCATTTCACAGTGACTTTCGTGCTCCTTTTCGTGTTCTCTTCATCTGAAATTTAATCCAAAAGTACTCCACGAATATATATATGTATATATTAACAACTTGTACGTTCCATCATAAGTTTGTAGCAGAGGTGTTAAATCTCTGAGAAAAGAAAAGGAAAGAGAAAAAGAACGATTGGGAGACTCGGTTGATGCGCCGACTTATACCACCTGTCTTCCCTCACGATGCCACTCGAGAAATAATTGCCGAGGAGAGGCGGCCGTAATCGCGCTGGCTGTCCAGGTCGTCCTCGTCGTGGCCATCGTCTTCGTCGTCGTTGTCCTCCTCCTCGTCGACGACGACGAGCCCGACAAGGGTCGAGTCCACTTCGAGGAAACTAAAAGCGCAACAAGCGGGGCCCCGATTCAAGTGGCGTAGAGTGTCATCAGCGGTTTTGCAACGGGCGACGACAACGGCCGACAGTTTTCGCGAGAAGGTTCGAGCCACGTCTACGTACGTGGCATGTTTGCCATCGCGAAACCGGTGCACTCGACAGAGGAAAAGGTTTGTCCAGGTTGTTCCTCGTCCTCTCGAGACATCCTGCCGTTAATAGCGGAGACAGAGGAACCACCGTGGCCTGTCCTTACCGAGGGACGAGTTATGTCGAGCGTAGCCACTCGTGAAAATGATAGAGACGCGCACCATGTGCCTCGAAAGTGCTTTCCGGGAACAATAAAGACTGTGGAGCAACACGTGGTTTGGTATGAGTTTAGAAACGAGGGTTGCGGCAACGGGGAGGAGGGGGTGAACGAGTTACACGATCCTCTGGTGAGGAGAGCTCGAAATTGAGTTGGCAATTAATGGAGCAATCTAAAAATTAATTAATGGAGAAATCTAAAAATTATATCTAATTATATATATTAAAATCTGAAATAGTTATTTCCATATTTTTTCTATCCATTTGTCTACGCTTAAGGGCCCAGAAGTAAGGAAATAATGATTACAGGAACGTGTATCATCAAGGAGGAAGATTCTTGAGGGAGAGATTTTTTTTTTCGACAAATCTTTGTCGAGGATGGACAAGAAACTTATTAAAGGGACAAAAGGGTGCGATTAATTAAGGGCGATGCAAACAAGCATGCGGTCTTCGATTTTTGCAGTGGAAAACATATCTTAACATTTGAATTTTCGTCGCAGTGGGAGCCAGCGTGACCTCAAATGAGCGCTCGTTCTTCAAATACGTACCTGAAGAACACCCGCTGGTAACATCTGCGAACCACGTAGAGGCGCACCGTGTTCAATGTTGTAACGAAAAATTTCAAGCGTGCATTTCTTCGCTGTGCAAAGAATTATAAACACGGAGCTACGGGCAGATAGTTGAAACTATCCACTATCGTGATATTTTTCTCGTAATTTTACGAGAAGAAAGGACAAAAGTTCTGAGATTATAAATTAAAATTATAAATATATTTATTTTAAAAGTGATGGATGATATTCCTGAAAATGTGTTTGATAAATTATTAGGAAATTTTACGAGATTCGATAAAAGATTCTATTTGTACGTTATAAAAGAAATTATATTTTAACGAGAAACTAAAATATATATTGGAAGTGAATTTAGAATTGTTTTTTTTTTTTTTCTATTTTCTTCTCGTTCGAATCGTTCCATCCAGTATTCGCAATAGAAAAAAAGCACATTGGTTATCAAGACTCGAGATGGTCAAGATACCATAAATAGTAGGACAAGTAACGACAAACTTTGTTCTTCGAAGATGCAGCCTTGAAATAATAGCGCTATTCGCGAAGATATATCTCTTGTCTCCAGGAGAAATATTTCTATTTACTATGTCGATTCAAGAGAAATGCTTTAGAAAATTGGCAATAAATATTGTATTACGAATTAATTCATTTCTAAAAGGAAATAATCACCTTTAACCAGCAAACACTTTGATGTTCAATCTATAATATCCCCCAAGCTCAATTTCTCGACAAACTAACATAAACTAAAAAAAACATGAGATTTCATTCAATTATCCTGCAGTTCTCCAATACCAACATCAACCACGTATTTTCTTTCACACAAATCCATATATTTCATTTCTCAATTTACTCTATAATTCTCGAATCAATTATTATATTTCCTTTCATACAAATCCATACACATCAAACAGCACCAATTATATTATACCCTCACTTCTTGACAAACTCGAGATTTCATTCCTCCAATTTACTTTAAAATGCAATATCGATCATATATATTTCCTTTCGCGCAAATTCACATACAAACATCTAAACTCTC